AGAAGAACCGAACGTGGTAGTCAAACCAGAAGAACCAAACGCGGTAGTCAAGCCACAAGAACCAGAGAAAGTAGTGAGACCAGAAGAATCAAAGCTAGTAGTCAAATCAGAAGAACCAAAGTCGATAGTGAAACCAGAAGAACCAGAGAAATCAATTAAATCAGAAGCACCAAAACTGGTAGTTAAATCAGAAGAATCAGAGAAATTAGTTAAACCAGAAGAACTAACGCAGATAGTTAGACCAGAGGAATCAAAGCTAGTAGTCAAATCAGAAGAACCAAAGCCGATAGTGAAGGCAGAAGAACCAGGAAAATCAATTAAATCAGAAGAACCCAGGCCAGTTCTGGAACCAGAAGATCTAAAGACTGCAGTCAAAACAGATGAAACAAAGACGACACTTAAAATAGAAGAAACAAAATCTCCGATCGAACCAGAAGATCTAAAAACTTCAATGGAAACTCATGAGGCTAAGACCGCAGCTAAATCAGAGGAACCAAAGACGACAACGGCAAACGAGGAAAATAAGAGCACAGTCAAAACGGAAGATCTGAAAACAGTAGTGAAAACAGAAGAAACAAAGACCACGATTATAACAGCAGACTCACAAACTCCATTGGAAGCCCATGAAGGAAACATCTCAGTTAAAACAGATGATTCAACGACCGCATTGAAAACAGAAGAAACAAAGGCGACCGTTAAAACAGAAGATCCAAAATCACTAATGAAAACAGAAGAAACAAAAACCACAATTATAATAGCAGATCCAAACACTCCATTGGAAACTCACGAGGCCGACACGTCAGTTAAACCAGATCATTCAAAGACCGCATTGGAAGTAGAAGATCCGAAAACAGTAGTGAAAACAGAAGAAACAAAAACCACGATCACAACAGCGGATCCAAAAACTCCATTGGAAACCCATGAGGCAACCATGCCAGTTAAAACAGATGATTCAAAGACCGCATTGGAAACAGAAGAAACACAGACTCCGGTGAAAACAGAAGCTCCAAAAACTTCGATGGAAACTCATGAGGCAAAGAGCACAGTTAAAACAGAAGATCCAAAGTCGTATGGTAAACAAGAAGAATTAAAGACGAATGTTGAACTCAATGAACAGCAGCATCAAAGTATTCTTGAAGCACAACAAGAACGAGTTCTAACTCAAGAGGAAGAAGACAAAATTGTGGAAGCTGTTATACAAGACTTGTTGCCCATTGTTGAACAGTTGGTTTCAGTTGAAGTAGGACGAGTATTATTTAATCGAGACATTGAAGATGATGGTAATGGTTTTATATCATTTCCATATATTTTTGAGGGCAGTGCTCCGATGTTTGTCTCATCACATGAAGGTGGAATTAGAGAAATTTACCACCAACAACAACAACCAATTAATAGAGTTATGGTAAGCAAGCAGTAAAACTGAATTCTTATTTTGTTATTTCTACTAGGAAACCTATACGGATGGCGTCCTAGGTGATGTTGCATTCGTTCCTAGCGACTTACGTACGGCAACGATGAGTGGTGCAATAGGAGGAGGTGTCAGAGGCGAAGTTCATACGTATTCTTCGAGTCTACCATCTCCTCCTGAAGGCTTAAGCGGCGCTCCTGGATTAGTCGAAGGTTAATAATTTACCTTTTTTCAAATGTGAAGATTTACATTGAACTTTTATCTATAGGTTTTACGATGGGCATCGACCGCAATCAAATTAATGGTAGCCAACTTGATAGTCAACTACCCCATTATCCATCTTACCATTAACTTTTTCAAATAAGCAATTCGTGATTTTTCTCTGCACTTCTTTTTATTTCATATAGTTATTGTAGTGCTTGCCTTGAATTCTTTCTTGTATTTCGATTTTTTATAGTGTAAGAAAGAAATATATTATAAATCAATCTGAATTTCATCGATCACTGTTGCACAATATTGATATTTTTTGTCATCGTTTTGAAGTTTACATCAGACAATGCTGGCAACTAACTTTTATGCATCTTTTTTGTAAAGACGGTAGCTTCTTTCTTTTAATAAATGAACTTTTCAAATATTACCTACTCATAAAATATTCTGCGTTATTCTCATCAGAAGAGAGATTCATATTTGTATGAGCCAAACATTTCTGATGATGTATTATATACATACAATCTCAATGAATATACTCAGTTGACAATATCCACAAGGGTATCTCGTAACTAGCATATCAAAAATATATTTGGATTTTTTCCACTTGATCACCAAATGTTCTTTGATGTTCAATCTACTAACTTGTTCAAAAAATTTTGTATGAAATATCATAAGAACTGGATAGATACCTGATAAGTGCTCATATACCTTGATAGTCCTAAGCAGAATATTCGAAAATCTAACCTGCTTACAAATGAATTTGTACAAAGGATATCTTACATAGACGAGCGAACCGTTCAAAGTGATTGGCTACTTTTGAGCACACACTTGGAACATATAGAGAAAACCTTTCAAGCAGAATCATTCTAACAAGTCTTGAATTCATTTTGAGACTAGATCTTACTTTCGAGTGTTCGATGAATATATTATATACAGATTCCTACATTGTTCAACGATATCTAGCTTTCGAATTTCGACCTCAATCCAAGAGAAAACAAGCAAGACTTTACTACGCCGAAGTACGACTAGAGTACGATGAAGTCTGAATGAAGTACAGTGAAGTATCGAAATCTCACTTTTCCTCTGCCTCAACTAGACAAACATAAGAAATAGTCTAAAACTATAGTATAAAAATGAATATTGCGGAAAAGGTATACCTAATAATTGAGAAATTTCTTTTTTATGAACTAATCTAATAGAAGTACTTATATGTGCAAGGTTCCAAGTCATAATTTCAAAATCAGATTTTGCTGAACAACTGACAGTTCTATATAGGGAATATTTACTAAAAACTCGAAATCACGATCAAGTCTTCAATATATAGGTTCAAAATTTTTTAGAGTTGTCCCAGCCAAGACATCTTATCTATATGCTCACAGTTTTAATTCAAAAGTAGTAAATCACTTCGAACAATATTCTCATTAGTATATTCACTAGAACATCAATTGGTTAGTCAAATCATAAGTCCAATAATAGTTCTACAAAGATTTGTTTATTACTAACATGTTCAACATGTCAATATATATGATATTTCATCAGTATCAACTCAATACATCTGTTTCCTTAGTTTATCTTGATTTCTATTGACTTAGCTTTTAAGATGACATAATTATTATTAGTAAAATTGATAATAACATTATCAATCATAAAACATGGCAATTAACGAATAGCTAATATTCTGCTGCAAGATAAATGATTCATAAAATAAAGAAAATATTGCTACAAGAATAACAATATAACTAAGAATAAAATAAGATCTTGTTGATTTACATGTTCATAACCTTATTCTATCTTTAACATAATATAATATTAAAAACAAATAAATCGATTCTTATGTCATCATAAGGAATGTCCTTTGTCGTAAAACATACCATTATTACGATTTGAAACCAATAAGATAATATATCTTTTGATATGTATACAAAATGATTTAAGAAATAAATAAAAACTAAAAATTTTGAATATGCTTATCTTAATAGAAAATTACATGAAAAAGACAAAGAGCTTGTCTATAACATATATGATTGATAGAATACATACATATTTGTAACAACAAAACATTATTAACAGAAATTTTTAGATGTAACCTACCATATAATTAAAGCATCAATCACTATGACAGTAGAACTGCGCTTTTTGCTCAACTTTTATCTACGAAATAATTTGTTTTATAGATGATTTGATATCTGATAGAAAGATTTTGTTGATAATAAGAATTCTTTAAACGTCTCTATAAACCATTAAATAATATCAATGACACTTTCAATTATCTTTTCAAACACAAAAGAATATTTTTTTTCTGAACAAAGAAGGAAAAGTTTTATTTGCTAATTACTTATTGTATCATCCTCTTTCTTTGAAACAAATACAAAAGTTACTGTTTTTGGATTCAAATAACTGTTTAAAAAAAAAGTTGAGCAAATGAAGCTCTCAAAAATAATCTGACTTCGTTTTTTCACCAAGTATTTCTTTAATATGATCATTGATTTATTTTTCTTTTGATTTATACTTTTGAGATTGGTCAAATTGATCAATAAAATATTTAAAAAAATGAATTCTTATCATGAAATTATTTTTTCTAACCACAAATTAAATAATTTAGAAAACAGACGTATTTATTTCTATGAGAAAAAGAAAAGAGAACATTCGTTTTCATGTCTAATGGGTTATATTTGACACTTGATCAGATAAACTTACCCTAGTGGACGTTTTTTTTGCTGTTTCTCAACATAGATGACAAGTGTATGTATGCTGTCAAAATTAATGATCATTAATGACAGATGGTACATGATTTATTATTAGAACTTTAGTTGTCTAAATATAGAATCTATGTTCATCAATATCAACTATAAATCGACTAAAAATGGTTTATATTTGTCATTAGAAGTATTTTCTAAAGATATGACTTAAATTCTTCAACCTTTTCTTTATCATGATTTTGAGATACAGAAATGAATCAAATAGAACCTTAATCGAGTGATTGTTTTCTTTTAGATATTCATTGTTATATGATTATGACAGCAGACTTTGTTTTTTGTAATTTATTAACGTTCGATGAATCTAATCGATGATTTCTAGGGATGATATGAAATGATTGTTAATCATAGATAGGATGCTTCAAATATCATGGTCACGTTACAAACAAAAGTAACTCCACTACTGATAAAGCTTAATCAAAATTTTTTTTTCTACTTGAAATAAGAGAATAGTAAGTTTTAATACATAACGATCAAGTTTGATGCTACCAACGATATGCATCCGTTTTGTTTTTGAGATTTACTCGAATTTCTATAGGTATTATGGATTTCAGAGCATTTGAATGTTTTATAGAAACTTTTTAAT